GGCTGCCCACTGGCTTCCAGACCCTGGGCTCCTTGTCGAAGGCTTCCTTATCCAATGCCATCACTGTATCGATACGTTTCGGTGCCACAGTCCGACAGGGCCAGGACGCGCCCGGGGCGTGCCAGAGAGGGCCTCGCCTTCGCTCGGCGGAGCGCCCGGGGGGGGGGAAAGGCACACACAGCAGGCTCGCGTCGTGTCGTGTCGACGCGGCGGGATTTCGCTCCGGATCTCGCAGTGAATTTCGCGCGGGTTTTTCTTGGCCAGGAATGAAGGCTTAAACAAATCCGCGTGAAAGTCACTTCATTTTTCGCTCGCCGTTTCGGGGTCTTGCATCGACAGGAGTCCACGCACAATCCGCTCCAGCACGTCTGCAAGGGCGGTGCAGTGACAGGGGGGAAGGCACACACAGCAGATGCGTGTCCCGTCGTGTCGACGCGGCGGGGTCCCCATCGCGGGCGTTCGAAGTCGAGCGCCGCTTGTGGCCCAGAGCCGCCCAGCGTGGAGCGATCTGGCGATCGAAGAGCCGCCGACCGTTCGGGGTTGAGCCATCCACGCGGTGTCAGAGACCAACGCCGACGTCGTCACGACACGGACCTGCCGTGGTGAAAAAGTCGGACGGCTGACTTCTCAAATTCTTTGTAACTGATACATTAAGTATGCTGCCACAAGAGAGCTTCCGAACAAGGTCGAACAGGATTTCTGATCGGGCATCCTGTTCTAGCGCTCGGGCGCCGCACCCGCAGCACCCCAGACGGTGCCCATGTGTGGGCGTGCTTCGTGCATCGTGCTTCGGGGGCCCTCGCCGGGCCCTGGACCGTCAGAAAACGACTCAGGACGAAAAGCCGGTCGTGCGGCATGGGCCGAGACCTCTGTCGAGCAGTGGCGAAGCGTCCTAGCTCGCCCATAGGCCTACCAAAGAATGTTCTGAGAGATGTTCGTGGAACGTTTCTGGCTGAGATTGCTTTGTCTAAACACATCAGGCTTCTGTTCTAAGAACATTGTTTTTGTTCTAAGAACAATACTGGGTTCTAAGAACATTGCGTAGTAGGCCTGTAGGCCTACGGGAATGCCGGGACGGTCGGTCCCTGCTCAGCTCTGGGGACCCCGCATTGACAAAAACAAGGCATCGGATGTCTGGGCAGATCGCCAGGAGCGGGCCTGCTCAGGAGGCTCAGAAGGGCCTACCGACCTCCCCAGGAGCTTGCCGAGCCTTCTCCGAAGCCACGGGGGCTCCTCAAGAGGCCAGTGAACTGTTTCTTTCTCTCTGTTCCCCTCGGCGCGACGCCGTGAGGAGGAGGAGGAGGAGGAGGAGGAGGAGGAGGACTAGCGTAAACCAAAGACGCACCAACGATGTTGCAATCAACCCTCCCTCAAAGCTCCCTGTTCACAGGTGCCTACAAGGACTTTTTCCCTGCGTCCTGACAATCCTAAACCGTGCCAGGACACCGCTCCTGGGACTTCAACCGTGCGGGCACTGAAAACATTTGCAAACTTTTGAAACGAATGTGCGCAGCGCCAGGGCCAGAGTCACAGTTTGGAAAGGAACCGAACTCCATGAAGCTGGTGCAAATGTTCAAGACGCATGTGCGCGGCGCTGAAGCGAGAGCTCATTTTGAGAACTTGCCGCCCTTCACCCGCGCAACTGTTGCAAACGTCCAACTTGAAGGCGCGCGGCGCTAAGGTGAGATTGAAAACGCCGCGCCATCTATCCGTGACATTTCTGCACATGTCAAGCTTCAGAATCATAAATGGTGATGAAGTCTCAGACGAACCCCCTGGCCTACCCTACGGACACGTCTGGGGATTCGACAAGGAGGAGTTATCACTAAGGAAGGGGGGTGGGGGAGGAGGAGGAGGAGGAGGAGGAGGAGGAGGAGGAGGAGGAGGAGGAGGAGAAGGAAGATCGTCGCCGAATCCTGGGATCGTGAAGTTGACATATCCTCCTTGGCGGACGGTGACGGGAGGCCAGCGGAGAGGTAAGACATGGGCTGGTCCGCCAGTGGACGCCGCCAGAAGGCTGGCGGAGGCCGGCGGAAGTAGACATCGGCCCGCCAAGCGAAGAGCATGGTTTCGGGGGGATCGCCCAGCACGAATCGCAAACGCTCGCTGCCAAGGGGGAACTCCAGAAGGCTGCCGAAGGGGAGGTCCAGGGATGATGAATACACGCCGGTCGTTGAAAGTAGGTTTTTCTGGACTCCCAGATCCCAATCTACTTCAAGCGCCTTCCTACTTCAAGAATCGGCACGCTTTTGCTGTGTTTCGTTATTCCCTGGGGGGGCCTGGACCCAATCAACTTAATCCGCATTCCTACTTCATGTTTTTACCTACTTCTTCCGACCGGCGTGTATCGCCTGTCTCCCATCTTATGCACGGGGGACTCCACGATGCGACCCAGACCTGAGGCAGGCCTCCAGGTGTCGCGGAAACAAAAGAAACACGACAGTTGTTTCTCAGGAGAGGAAAATACACAGACACAATTATTCGTCGACCCCCAGGAATATGGGAAAACATGGGAAGGTGGGGGGAATACAAAAACCCAGAAAATATTGGAAAATATTGGGAATCCTGTCATGTGCGCGTGTGTGTATTTATTTGTGTGTCCCTGGGCCCCTTCAGTTTCGACCTCCGGGGTGCGTTCTCTTACCTTAGGACGCCAAAGCAATCCCAGACGAAAGCGTCCAGGGATGGGGCCGAGTGATCAGGAGCCCGGACCGTGGCACAAACTCACAGCACATTCGGGCGTTGCTTTGCTGTGGCGTGGAAGTCGCGCTCCAGCTGGCCACTTCGCGCTTCGACCTCTGTGCTTTCTGGCTGCCTCTCGTGGCAGAGGGCTCCGACATGTCGGCAGCTCCCTCTTGCGGCTCTCTGGGGCTCTCTTGGGCCGTCTTGTTCGAAGAGGGGGGTGGTCACGACCCCCAGGGACCCCGCCCTCCCGGCCCCCCCCCCCCCCTGCGACCCCCACCCTCGGCGACCTCGCCGAATTACCGCGGGGACTTTCCCCCCCAAACACCCCCCCAGCGGTGAGCGCGGAAGGGATCGAAGGGAGGAGGTATTCCCTTCGATTCGATTGCGACGTGGTCCGACCTCCCTTTGGCTGGATCGCCTGAGGAGGGCCCCGGGAGAAGGGGAGAGCGGCGACGGCGACGACGACGACGACTCAAGCGGAAAAGGGGAGCGGCGACGGCGAAGGCGACGACGACGACGACATAAACGGAAAAGCGTCTCACACGCCGACAGGGTCGGCGGATTTTTCACTTTTGCTGTTCACTCAGAACGTTCTCGTCCCTCAAAAGTTGTGGCCTGGGTGCAGCGATGGCCACATGTAAGACCCTTCATAGAAACGCTGTCCAGCGGGACGTCGCTCTCGCTGCGTCGCTGTCTGTAGTCGTTGCATCAACAAAAGTGGTGTTCCCGCTGAAGCGTTTGCCACGCTTCCGGATTTCCATGGATTTTCTGATCACCGCGGCGCCAGTCGCATTCTCGCATCAGCAAGACAGTGGTCCCCGCTGCATCGCCTACCACACGTAAGGACGTCCACCGAGCCCCCGTCCCATGGAACGGCGCTCTCGCCGACTCGCTGGTCGCATTGTTGGACCCGCAAGGGTGGCGTCCGTTTTACCCTTTGCCATGTTTCGGGACAAAGTTGGCCTTTCGAAATACATGTTTCCTTCGACATTCGATTCTAAGAACAAGAAGAGCTCACCTCCACGCTACGGGATGGGAGGGAGGGATATGATGCCAGAGATCGCGCGAGCGCAGCAATATTACCCCTCCTCCTCTCCCCTCCGCGTCTCCCTCGCCCCTTTCCCAGGGCGGGTTCGGGGCACAGCTCTCGGTCGTACTGGATGTGCTGCGGTGGCCCGCAGCCCCGTGATACATCATGCATCTGGACCACGTCTCTGGCGCGTTGCCGCTGAGATGCTCCAACCCCTCACTGGTGGCTGCCTCGCTGGTTCTTGACGCCCTCAAATCTGCGAATCATTAGGTGAGCAGATACATGTGAGGAGCCGAGAATGCTGTTCAATCTGGACGGTCCTTCGAGCAGGAGGGCGCAGCATGAGGATTTGGAGGCAGGGAGGGAAGGAGAGGGGGGTGAGTGCAGCTCAAGCAGGTAACGAAGTCAGATTGGTTCCCAATGGTTTCGATCGAAATTGCTGCCCTGTTTGTTGCTGGCCAGCGTGTGTGTTCTGATGGATCGGACGGCCTTTCCGCGATCTCAAGCGGTCTCGTCGACGCGGTAACCAGTCAGCACAGACCAGTCATTCAGCCTGTGTTTATCTATGGTTCCCCGTTGGACTTGACACCCCGCATGTGCTGACCGGTTTGCGCGCGCTCGAAGGAGGGCAGGAAAGGGGCGAGGAAGCACCAGCACGAAGATTCTGTCGCAAATCATGGGAGCCTCGTGTACCCTCGCAATCATGCCTTTAGCGTCGATTGGCATCGATTCGCGTCTGGGAGCCGATGAGATGGCACCGACTTGGCGCCGTTTGGCGCCAACCAGCGTCGACTGGCGCCGATGTAGCGTCGACCAGCGTCGAGTCGCAAGAGCCGACGAGATGATGTGGGAGGCTCCTACGAGTTTTAAGTCGGGCCTGTCCCTCTACAGGAGGGACATTCCAAGATAGTTTAAAACATTGTCTGGGGACTATTTTGCCGCATTCTTTGACAATGTAGGGGGCATTTGCTTACGGTAGGTTTGCGTCGTGGCGACCAGCGGCGACCCCAGCGCGGGCGTTCAAGGTTGAACGCCGCCGGCGACCCAGAATCGATCGATGTTGAACGATTGGACGTTGCGGAGACGGCCGATCGTTCAAGGTTGAACGATCCAGCGCGGTGTCAGAAACCAACGCTGGGGTCGGCACGACACGAACCTGCCGTAGTATGGTTTCATTGTTCGCCCCAAAATCCCCTTGCATGGGGGACAGGCCCGACCGAACACGAGCTCCCACCCCGCGCACGGAGAGATGGGGCCGCCTGGCGCGGAGCTGCCCCGTGCCGAGGCGGCTTCGGCGAGGGTGCCGGCGCGGCGTGGGGCGGCGGCGAGGGCGGCGCTGCCCCCCGTTGCAGCAGCGCCTGCTCTATCTCAGAGCCCCGAATCATCAGGGGTAACTCGGGTCAGGGATAACTCGGGTTCGTTTTTCGGGAATCCAAACCCGAGTTACCCCGGACCCGAGTTACCCCGGATAACTCGGGCGTCCAGAGCCCCGAATCATCAGGGGTAACTCGGGTCAGGGCTAACTCGGGTTCCTTTTTCGGGAATTCAAACCCGAGTTACCCCGGACCCGAGTTACCCTGGATAACTCGGGCGCCCAACTATCGTTAGGTCGGGCGCGTCCCCTCTACAGGAGGAATATCCAAGAAGAGTCCAACAAATATCGTCTGGGGACGATTTGTTTTTGCTCTTTTCTCTGCTACGTTGACGCGTGTTTTGACCATTTCCTATTTTGCGCCCCGAATCCGCCTGTGGGGGGACATGCCCGACCTAACTCGATCTCTGTCATTCTGGGAGGGGGCGAGAAGTGCAGTGGAGACCCATGCCAAGAAACACCCCTGATCGCCTCCAGGGTGCCCTGGGTTGCTTGGGCGCCGATGGTTCTGCCATGGAGAGCGTGACGTCCCCACACCAGAAATCGATAGACATCCTGGGATATCAGGGTTGGGTTTCTTGTGGAATGTTTCTTGGGGACTGGCATCCATAGTGGCAGAAGCCGAACTCGATTTTGTATCGGCGCGAACCTGCTTTCGCCGAATACGAAACGTGGTTTCCTATCTCAAACAAGATGCATGGCCATGAGCATGATCGCGGTACACGTTTCCCGTGTTTTATGCACAGGTGCGCATTACGGGCTTGCATCATGCGCACCACTCATGTATCCTCCACCTAAGGAGTGTAACACATTCGCGTGTGGAGTGCGTATTGCGCGCCACACTGTGCAAGCAACGAGCAGCACATTCTTCGCCGAGGGTCCCCTTTGACACGAGCAGGCTGAAGCTCAAGCGCAATCACATTATCCGGACGCTGCGGGGGGTGAACAATTCCTGGCCAAGGGCCGATGGTGTCTCACGTCTGGCGCGGAGGCGATGCTCAAGGTTCCCCGCTGCGTCCTGCAAGAGGCGGCGGAATTCAGATTCCATTCCGAAGTCCAGGACATACCGCGCGAGGGCATCGAGATGCCAAATGGGGGCCTCCTATTCCTCGTCCCGAAGAGCCAATCCGGCGCCACCTGCGAGGGGCAGCCATATACGAACCAGCGAACAGACGACCGCTGAACTTTGCCAACGCACACAACCGACTGCTGTGCTGGCTGGTGGGTGGGGATATGCGGATGGGGTGTGCCGCGCCGAAAGAAAGGGGTCGGGGTGGAGAGGTGCGCCGTGCCGAAATAAAGGCGTCGGGGCGGAGGGTGCGCGCGGGGGGGGGGGGGGGGGGGCGTGCCGAAATAAACGGGTCGGGGCGGAAACGGTACGCTGGCTGGTGGGTTGGGGAAATGCGGATGGGGTGTGCCGTGCCGAAATACAGGGGTCGGGGCGGAGAAGTGTGCCGTGCCGATCTAAAGGAGTCGGGGCGGAGAGGGGCGCTGGCTGGTGGGTGGGGGGGATGCGGAGGGTGTGTGGAGGGGGCGTGCCGTGCCGAAATAAAGGGGTCGGCGCGGAGGGGTGTGCCGTGCCGAACTAAAAGGGCCGGGGCGGAGGGGCGCGCTGGCTGGTGGAGTGTGTGGGTGATGGAGGGGGTGCCGTGCTGAAATTTAGTGGTCGGAGCTCTAGACACCTCGTGCAAGATAATCTCGTTCTAATACGCGTAAGATGGCTTCCAGATAGCCAAAAAGGCTTCCAACATTGCCCGGGGGTCTCCCAAGAGCACCCCCAAAAGGACCCTCAGAAGCCAAAATCATTGATTTTCTTAGGATTCGTGGTGCATCTTAGCGTTTTTGCTTGTTCGGCTTCCCGACGCTCCAAGACGCTCCAGGACACCCAGAAATCGTCCAAACAGGCTTCCACGAGGGCGCCGAGACGGCCTGGGGCTGCCCCCAGACGGTCCCCAAAAAACCCAACACATATGAAAAGGGCCGCAAGCGGCCTCCAAGAGGTCCCGGAACGCGGACAGATCGTTCGAACATGCCCAAGATGGCTTCCAGATGGCCCACATGGCTTCCGAAACGGCCCAAGGGGCCCCCAAGAGCATCCCCAAAAGGGCCCCAAGACGCCAAAATCACTGATGTTCTTAAGTTTCTTACATTGTGGCGATTGTGCCTGGTCCGCTTCCCGACGCTCCAAGACGGTCCCGGACACCCACACATCGCCCCAAGAGGCCCCCACGAGGGCGCCGAGACGGCACAGGGACGTCCTGCCGCGGGCACGACGCGGGGCCCGGGACGGGGCCTTCGGACCCAGGGCCTCGGGGGCCCTGCCGTGGCGCCGGGGGCTCTTTCAAATCGCCCGAGGGCGGCCCAGGATCGCCAGAAATGGCGCTTCCAGATTTCAAAAAACGACCGACGGCCCGAGATCACCCCGGAATCAGCCCTGACTGTGCAAGAGGCCTCCAAGACGCCCCAAGAGGCTTCCAAGATGCCCCCCAAAGAGCCCCAGGAGGCACAAATAACTTATCATCCGATGGGTGTTCCATGGATTTTCGAGTTCTCGCCTTTTCAGTTTCCCGACGCTTCACGACGGCCCAGGAGGCCCCAATGCCCGTTCCGAGACAGCCCCCGAGGCCTCAAAGACGGCCACAAGACAGCCCAAGAGGGCCCCAAGACGGCGCCAGAGGCGCCCAAGACGGCCCGAGAGGGCCCGAACACGGCCCAACGAGGGAGCCAAGAGGGAAATCCCAGCCTCCCACCCCCGAGAGGCTTTCAGGAGGCCCCGAGAAGCCCCCAACAGGCCCCAAGAGGCCCCAAGAAGCGCCCCAGGGGGCCGAAGAGGTTCCAAGAGGCCTCCCACCGAGGCCCCAAGAGACAAAAATCATTGTCTTGCCATCGGTTTTTGATTTATGTTCGAGGTTTCAGTCTGTTGGCGTCCCGACGCTCCAAGACGGCCCAAAAGGCGTCCAGGAACGTTCCAAGATAGCCCAAGAGGCCTCCAACAGGGCCCCAAGACGGCCCACGAGGGCTCCAAGACTTGCTAAGAGGGTGCCTGATGCGCCCAAGACGGCCCGAGAGGACACCAACACGGCCCCAAGAGGGGCCAAGAGGGGTAAGATGAACCGAAAATCCGAGCCTTCCACCCCGAGAGGCTCTCAGGAAGCTCCAAGAGGCCCCCAGTAGGATCCAAGAGGCCCTCAAGAAGCTCCTCTGAGGGCCGAAGAGGTTCCGAGAGGCCTCCCAAAAAGGTCCGAAGAGGCACAACTCATTGTTTTCCGATCGGCGTTTCATGGATTTTAGAGTTTTCAGCCTTTTGGCATCCCGACGGTCCAAGACGGCCCAAGAGGCCTCCAAGACCGCTCCAAGATAGCCGAAGAGGCTTCCAAGAGGGCCCTAAGACGGCCCACGAGGACCCCAAGACGGTGCCTGAGGCGCCCAAGACGGCCCGAGAGGGCCCCAAGACGGCTCCAAGAGAGGCCCAAGAAGGGGAACGCGAACCTAACAGCAAAGCCTTCCGCCATAAGAGGCCCACAGGGGGCCCCAAGAGTCCCTAAGTGGCCCGACGAGGCCTTCAAAAGCTTCCCAAGAGGCCCCAAAAGGCCCCCAGGAGACGTGCAAGGGGCCCCAAGATAGCCGAACAGTGCCCTCGATGCATCAAAACTGCCTCCAGGAGGCCCCCGGGAGGCTTCCGGATTGCCTCAATGTGGCCCCAGGTGTCTTCAAGTCGGTCGGGCCTCCACGCAGCCAAGACGGCCAATGACGGCTTCAGATTGCAGAGCATCACCTTCCGATTGCCCGGAGAACCCCGACGATGCCCCCAAGGGACCCCAAGAAGCCCCAAGACGATCCCCCAAGAAGCACCCAAGAGGTGCCTCCAACAGCCAATTGAGGAAGCACGGAGAACCCCCGAGAAGCCCTCCAGATGCCCCGACCCAAGAGGTTTCCAAGAGGCCCTCAGGAGGCACGACTATGTCACGCGCCTGTGCTTGATAGCGCTGTCCAAGATCTTCCAGCGCCCCCCCGGCCTGGGCTAGAACCTGAGCGCGCGCGAAGCGCGCGATGGTTCTAGTGTATGTGTGTACATTTATATATGATCATTCTTGTTGAACGGAATCGATGCCAATCCGCAGAGAGAGCCCAGGAGAACACCCGACGTCTACATCGGCATGCACACCAACATCTACACCATGTCTTGCATAAAAACCACACCAGGTCAATACCAGACCGCTGGGCTCTACTACGACGACGACGACGGCGGCGACGACGACGACGACTACTACGACGACGATGATTATTACGACTACTACTACTACTACTGCTACTACTACTACTACTACTACTACTACTACTACGACTACTACTACTACTACTACTACTACTCCTACTACGACTTCTACTACTACTACTACTACTACTACTACTACTACGACTACTACTACTACTACTACTACTACTACGACTTCTACTCTACTTCTACTACTACTACTACTACTACCACTAC